TTACCTGACTGATTAGTAAACAAGATTGCCAGATGCAATGCTACTGAAATTGTTTTTGTGACTGGAAAGATGTGAATACTGAGCATAGAAGATAGTTCAAATGGTTTTGCATTTAATGCATCTTATCGTCAGATACGTATTTACAGATCTTGGAGGAATAGAAAGAACGTTGTATATTGCTCGCACTTTCTATAGTTTTGATTAAAGACACCATGTAGCATATAACTGTTAATTTGATGAATTGAAGATGAAAATGCCTTTTTTGCCCTAGTAATTTTACTTTTGTTCTTGTTAAGATTTTGTTGTAGCCTTTTCACCCCTTTTTTCTTCTCAATGCACACCTGTATCTTTAAGGGCTAATATGTAATTACAACATATGAACTGGTTTTTTCATTGCAAAGCTAATGTTGACAACAAAAAGGACCAACACTAACTTTCCTTAAGTTAAGACAAATAATACTTGTGTCCAAATTGTATAACCGTTTTTTTCAATTTTGAAATGTTCCATTAAGTTTGACACCATTTTACTTATACTATTCAAAGTAAATCAACATCACACTTATCGTATTTAGTCAAATACCTCCAGTTAAATGTGACAGATAAAGTTGTATGAATTAAAGACATTAATAGTTATTTGATTTGGTCGTTGATATAAAAATGTAGTTCGAGGTGAAGTTTAGAGAAGAAAGTCTTCAACAAAGACCGGAAATTGTAATTTACAGTAAAAATTAAGAAAGGTGTTCAAGAATTTACCGGCTCTTTTGCGCATACCACGGAGGAATGAGGATGACAGGCGTTTTGTCCACTTCTAGGTGATCAAAGACAAAATAAACATTGAGGGGTCCTTTGATTATCGGAATACGAATAATAATTTTGGAATAAATTTTGAAATTGTATTTACTTTATATTTGATTAAGGATATTAATTAATATAGATTAAAATTGTACTAATTATCCTATATAAAAAATGGGATAACAAATCCTATGAGATAATGTCCTTGCATATCCCATAATTGAACCAAACGGTCTCTAAATGATTATACCTACTATAATATAACTAAAAAACTATACGTTGTGTACTTGGCGAAATTATTCCTATCTTTTATATATATATATATATTATTGAAAAGTCAAATATTTCAAAAAAAAAAAATTAATTCGTAGTAATTTTTCTCTAATTTCTAATGAGATCTTTGAAAAATTCTAAAACAAATGTCTAGATGTTATGAAATATATATTACAATGGATGTTCATAACTCCTAAAAATTAATACTCATATTCTTCTTTATTATATCCATAACCCTCACTACTCTAACATACATGATTGTAACCCGCATGCCCCCCCCTCATGATTGTCCATAATCTCAAATACTTAATGTCATATTTATGATATTCTTTTGTATGCCTGTAAGTAATATTATAAATAAAGGATGAGAAGTAATATTGTTCATACTCCAGAACACTTGAAAAATAAGAATGAATTTTTTTTATAGTCACACAAATATTATGGTCCACAAAATTTTTATCCCTAAAGTTTATAAAATTATATATTTTAAAAGACATTTTTTTTAAATCTTGTGCCAAATCAAATTATTGGATCTAAATTGAAACAGAAAAAGTAATATATTTAACTTTCCTGCTCCTAAGTCGTTATTGTTTGAAGAAAAAAGAAAGGCGCGTGGGAAGACAACTTTGGCGTTAGTGGGGGGCAGAAAAATAAAAATAAAAATAGATAAACAGTGACGCCACCGAAGAAAAACAGGAAAACCAAACCAACACTCAAAGGCAGAAAAAAAGAACACGTCTGACCTCAGCAGCAGCAGCACTCATAAAATCAGAAAATCATAATCTCTCTGTGTATGTGTGGTTTCTGCTGAGTTGTTGTGTCTTTCTGACTCTGACTCTGGTCCACCACCGCCCCAAAAACCGAGTCAATAAAGTAAAAGAAGTGAAAAACACACACAGATATATTTGACTAAATAGGCTCCACATTTGGTTTGGCCCCTAAACCCCAACATCAACACCTCTGTCTCCTTCTACTCAGACACCACCTACTCCTATTACCCCTTCCTCCACGTGGGGGCCTGACATTTCCTCCTATCACCCTTTGCCTCACCAAAGGATTGTGTATTCTACTGCGCGCTTATCCATTCATTTCTCGACACCTCACCTACCACCTTAGTACTGTCTTGTTCTTTTCTTGACGAGCATTATTACTTGCCGTTCAATTCCACACCTTTTTTTTTTTGGCTTAAAAGGATTAAAATACGTTAAGAAATGTTATTCGTTCGATAATATTACATTAAAATGTAACAAAAACTTAACTGAAGTATGAAAAACAATTTCCTTCCGGCCAAACTACCGTAGAAGTTATTACCAACCAATAAAATTGTGACAAAAATTATTCACATTCAATATTTACTATATAAGCAAAACATGCAATTTTTTGATAGATTCCCATGACCTTTAGCACTCTTTTTGTTTTTTGCGATGTTACTATTTGTAAATATGTTGGTTATCTTTGTGCTGTTAATGCCAAGTGACGAAACCGAGGTCCCATTATTTTTAAAAAATTAGAGTAACGAAAGATGCAGTACAACTTTCCTTGTAAGATTTAACTTTTAATCTGCAAAATGTATATTTAAATAAACACAGTACATTAATATTCCAATGCCACAGTTGCAGGCCTTCAATAACATCGCGTGTTATGCAAAATGCACAACGCGACAAGGATATTCTCTTATAAATATGCCTGACAAGAATATTGAAAATAATGCAATAATAAACAATAGGAAAAAGTAAAAGAGAAAAAGGGATGGAGGCGCCGCTGAACAGAGAGCCGTACAGGGAGTAGCTAGGGCCTTGTAGTAGGGGGGTTTATAGGGCTGATGTAATAATAAGACTGTCTTTGCAACATTATAATAATGGAAAATTATTACTATGTGGAGAGAAAGTCTTCAACATGACAAAACCCTAAGGGGCACACAAATAGAGAAATCAGAGATAGATACAGATTCACACGCCCGACTGTGTGACACGTCTTATCAGCCGGCTGCTCCTCCTTTTCCTTTTTCTATCTTTATTTATTTATACTCACTCCACCTACTTATACTACAACTCAAAATACATACTAATAACCGTGTATTCTTTTTAATTTTCTTTTGGTGGAAAAATAAACTATACTACAACTCAAAATACATATTACAACTTTTTTTTTATCTTATTTTAAATCACTCCTAATATAGAAGAATCTATAGTGTTTTTATATTTTTCCCTCTAGTATGATTCAAACTCAAAATTTAACGATCGTAAGTAGAAATATTTTATCAACTTGAGCAAGCTCCACTTATCCATACTTCTATTCCATTGTCCATCATAAAGGAGAGAAAATTAAAGGACAATTGCAAAAATGAAGTCTACAATCTAATTCCCCCACGTGATTGGTGCAAGTTAATTACTCTTTTAGAATGATACTATACCCATCAACCTATCACCGGAATTCAACTTCGTTGAAAATTGGATGTAAGAAAATAACATCACATGTTGTATTGGGACTTTAGACTGTTTCTTAGTCTTATCAATTCTGGAAGTCTCTTAAAGATACGTGGTGCAAATGAAGATTAATTGAATCTACCTTTATAATTAGTATAAGGTTGCGAGAACATAGACAACAGCCAAGACAAATATTGACTTGACTTGTGACTTCTTCAATTCTGAAAAATTCAAGAAGCTGTAGTAGAAATTGTACTTCTCGACGAAAGCAAAATTAGAAATAGAAGCACGAAAATTATTACATTTTTTACGAATTATCCTTCGTCTCATCATGATTTAGTATTAAAATGTAACCTTTCCAACCAATTTGTAGTAGTTCTATTTTAGGACCCTACTATTTTAACTCAAATTTATCAAATTGTGCGTTTTCACATTTTTTTATACGTAGAAGTTTAAAATAAATTTCTTTAGAGATACACCAATTAATTAAAAGAACAAACTATAAATTTAATGTTACCAAACTAATCATTCTTATACTAAGCTTAATTTATTAATCATTCTTACCTCTATTAATCCTTTAGAATAAGCTTACATTCCAATAATATACTCTCTCCGTTTCAATTTATGTGAACCTATTTCCTTTTTAGTCCGTACTAAAAAGAACGATCTCTTTCCTTATTTGGAAACAATTTAACTTTATACAATGATTTATAGCCATACAAAATATATGTGCCTCATTTTACACCACATAATCAAAAAAATTCTTTCTTTTCTTAAACCCGTGCCCAGTCAAATAGGTTCACCTAAATTGAAACGGAGGGAGTATATATATATATATTTTAGCACAATGGAGATCAATGGTGTAGACATGATGAGACAACATAGACATTAGTGACACAGAATGACTTAAAAATCCATGGTAAAAGTACGGCAAAAATTATACAAAATAATTATACAAAATCCTATTGCATGATATTAATTCAAATATACTATTCCCTCCCTTTCAATTTATGTGAATCTTTTTGATTAGACACGAAATTTAAGAAAAAATAATTTTTTTGAAATTTATGGTCCTAAACAAAGCAAAAAGGGGCCCAGAGTATTTGTGTGGTTATAAAAGTTTCTCACTAAGAATAGAGTTATAAGTATAAGCTAAATTGTTACCAAATTTAAAAAAGAATTACTTTTTTAGAATAGACCAAAAAAAATAGGTTTACAAAAACTTTGACAGACCAAGATTAATCAATACATATTTCATCTTGTTAAATCTCTTATACTAACTATTACCATAAGTTAGGCATAACTTGATGTAAATGTCGAAATTGTAATAAAGCTTTTACCGCAGTGATACCAATAGTATAGGAGTATATTTTAATGGTTGAAAGAGTTAAGAGAGGTCGTGCCGTCCAGCCGACGATTACGGGTGTCTCCGTGGGCCCCTTTTTATCTTTTCCACTTTTACGACTGCTATTCCAAATATACTCTATACGCTTGCTCTTTTTATGTCCCCAAACCCCACACACATTCACTCTCTCTCTCTCACTAAACAATTTCACCTTCATCTTCTTCTCCTCCTTTCTCTCTCTAAATTCCCACCATTTCCATGGCTGCAACTCGTGAAGGTCATTACAGAGGAGTAAGAAAGCGTCCATGGGGTCGTTACGCAGCTGAGATACGTGACCCTTGGAAGAAGACACGTGTTTGGTTAGGCACTTTTGATACACCTGAAGAAGCTGCTCTTGCTTACGACGGCGCCGCTCGTTCTCTCCGCGGTGCTAAAGCCAGAACCAACTTCCCGGCGGCGCCTCCTCTTCCTTTTGACCTCAACCTTAATCCCTCAGTTGATCATCATCACCGATTGACTTCTTCTTCGTCCTCCGCCCGTAGGCTTATGAATATAGGAGAGTTCTTACAAGTTGGTCATCCAGTACTCAAAGACGTCGTTGGACCGCCGCCGCCTCCAGTATTTAACTTGCCGGTCTCCGGCGTAGCTCCGGCAAAGGAGAATGAGAGTGGCCCCGCCGCCAAGTATTTTGGGATTGTGAGACGTGGGTTGCCTATTGACTTGAATGAACCGCCGCCGTTGTGGATGTGAAGCCGGCTATGACTTCTTAGTGTAATTCCTAGTTTTCTTTTTTCGTTCTCTCTATTTTCAAGCTTTTGAGAGAAGGGTAAGTTCTACTAATGAAGAAAAGAAAAAAAAAGAGAAAAAGAAGTTTCCTTGAGGTATTTATGTTATTACGTACGAGGAAGCATTATTATGTATATACATGTTTCTTGTATTTTAGATCCTTTTCTATCTTTTTTGTAGAATGGTTATCATAAAACTGTGCCCAAGACTTTGTGGTCTAATTTCATCGTTTTCTTGTGTTTCTGTACCTAACATGTTTACATTTATTCATCTATATTTATTACAATATACATGTACGTTGAAAGTGTGTATTTAAGTTGTGTGTACTTGCGTACATATATAAAATTAAATACCTACACACAACTTGAGCTTCATTCAGTGTGTGCATATATTTGGCGATATAAAAAGTAGTCCAATACCTGGACATTTGCTTCAGCCGAAGAATAGTTGTACGATGGATTATTCTACCACTGACTTTCTGTCCTATTAGGATAACGTTGGTAAATTTATGTACAAAACATTAGATACAAAAAAGAATTAAAAAGAGGAGAAAAGAAAAATAATGTACTAAAGTGTAAAACATTGTATAATAATAGTAACATTTTTAGAAATAGTAAAGGTTCTTGGTTTTTACAGTTTAGATGGAGATGGTGAGACTTGAAAGCTGTATACCAACCAGAGCTTGTAGATTGTGCAGTTGGTGGCTGTATAAACGGATGAATAAAGTAATATATTAGGAGTACAAGGTTTTTGAGCAAAGTTTCACATACGTCAAGAAAAAGAAAATCANGGGAAGGGGGTAGATTTTGGAGACATAATCTTTAATTTCGCCTTTTAAGGTGGCGCATGGAAGAGCATTACAATTACTCTTAGTATAGGAAAAGGGTAAAAGCAGAAAGGTGACTAGTGTAGTAGAGTATTTATTATAGTAGCAACTAGGGTAAAAAAATGTTACTGTACATATTATCAAAAGATCTGCTTACTCATTCTCCAAACAGTGCGAATTTAAAATGAAAAGTCCCTTTAAGACAATATTGTACACAGCAGAAAGAATTCTTTTTCAGCTATAACTTTCAATAAGAGCAGGCTGTTCGTTCAGCTTTTCTCTTCTTCCCATTATTAATGTTAGTAGTAGAATAATTCATCATCCGTCGTTCAGCTTTTCTCATATTCTATCCATGCTAATTAAGTATAATTATATGTACTTATCTTTTAAATAACGTGATATTCTGAAATTTTTGACTATGTAATTGTTATATATAAAAGTTAAATTCCAATTATTTGACAATCTTATGTACGCCATGGTGCAACTGGCCGAAACAAAAAGGTGCTGTTTATTTGCCATTTTATTTTTCTAATTACGTCATATTCTGGTACTACTAGGTAAGGGGTCCATTTGTTTGTGAGCATGGGCGAAGCTACATGTTGTAAAGGTGGTCAACTGATCACCCTTCGTCAGAAAATTATACTGCATGTATAGGTAAAATATTAGATTTTAGAGGTATATAACACAAATTGAACACTCTTTTTCGGAGATTTTTTTCACTTCTTTCAAGTTTGAACACCCTTGAGTAAATTCCTGGCTTCGCCACTATTTGTGAGTACGTGTTAGAAAGAGATTATTAAGTTTATAAATTATCCATGACATGGAGTGCTAACGGTTTATAAAATGGTGGATGATTGATAAAGACGATCGACGAGGATTTTAGATCACTAAGAATATAAATCATCCCAGAAGTTTGTGATGTTAATGGATAAAATGCATGGTTCCTTTCAAGAAAAGGTGAACTTATTATGTTTGGGTGAAAATCAGTGTAACTTCTATCGAACTCGAACTTTATTTATTAGGAAAAAAACCTTTCATATTTTAATAAATTGTAACTATATATGTATCACTTTGACAGTAAATGTAATGAATACTGGCAGTAGTTTCTTCAGCAGCTATTAATTAGAGTCCGATTGGGGTAATGGTAGCATAAGTTATGTTCTAATGCTTTGCTTTTTTACGTTCTACAAATGGTTCTTTAAAAAAAAATTGGAGAGTAATGTATACGAGTAAAATCGGGGTAATGAGCACTCCGATTTCCAGGTGGGGCGAACGAAGTGAGGGCATAACTGTACGTAATTGAAATCGAAGCCGATGCCGCCCGTATCACAGCCCAAACAAAACACCTGCCCCTGGAGCCATCAAGACCATGCCCTCGAACCCGATTCGAATAACAAGACCTCGGAGACCGTTACTAAACGTCCGCACACGATTAACAAAAGGCCGTATTATCCGTGCCCGACCAGATCTCACGGCGTGAATCTTGGCCCATATCAGCAGTTGATCATTAATTTGCGAAAAGGAAGATCTTTACCTTTCTTAGAATTGTACTTAAGGGTAAACTCCCATACTATAGAAATGGGAGGTTTATTATTCAATACAGACTCTGTAACACGCATACCAAGGCAATATACATCTGTTTTCTCTATTTCTAAAAGTTATTCAAAGTTCTTCATAAGTGTTGGCTCGGAACCGAAGGCAGGCTTCTTCACTACTAGAAATTCGTAAAAAACTGACCACGGTCGACCGACCAAAGTTGGTCGGTTTTTCAAATATTTTTTTTACGAAATCGCCCAACTTTGGTCGGTTTTCTATGGCGCAAAAATGCAAAAAACTATTTTTGAGTCCCGCAAAATTTATTTTTCAAGAAACCGACCAACTTTGGTCGATTTTTCATTTAAAATAAATTAAAATTAAAATTAAAAAAATCGACCAAAATCGGTCGGTTGATTTGGCCGGTCATTTTAAAAAACCAACCGCATTCGGTCGGTAATTTTATTTTTTAATAAAACCGACCAACTTTGGTCGGTTATTTTCGTGCGAAAATACAATTAAAGAGTATAAATGAAATAAAAGACAGTCTTAAAATATAATGCACCAATGGCCTAGTGGTAGAATAGTATCTTGCCACTGTACAGACCCCGGTTCGATTCCCAAATGATGCATTTTTTAATTACATAATTAAAATACCGCCCAACTTTGGTCGGTTTTTTCGGCAATTTTTTTTTGAATTTAATTGACTGACCAAAGTTGGTCGGTAATTTACGATCAACTTTGGTTGGTATGACCTTCCGACCTTCAAAATACCGACCACACGTTAATGGTATCGTTTTGGACGGTTATTGGCTATTATCGACCAACTTTGGTCAGTTTTTTTGGACGATTTTTGCCGAATTTCTAGTAGTGTTTGTTAAGCTTTTACCCGAGCCCGAATTCATAATCGTCATTGTTTTGGCTATTTATTCTATATTTTATTTACTTATCTAACGTCCTTAATCACTTGTATTGAATTGACCAACATATTCTTAAAACCGCGTATAAATTCAATTGTTATCTGTTTTTAAGGGTAAACAGTTTGGCGTCCACCGTGGAGCTAAGGATAATAGTGGTAATTTGATACAAATTTTCATAACACACTATATATTATGCTTGTTCTTTAAAATTTTAATTTTAGATGTACCTAAGTATGTCAAACTCTCAGTCTGCTCACTTCAACATTGATATTGATTCTGGCCATCATGGCGAAAACAACAACATAGCACCTAGCAACGAGGTGTCTCATGCTGATCCTAACAGAGTCCCTGTTACAGACCCAATTGATGCCTGTGCTCGAAATAACCTCGAGGGGAAGGGGTTAGACACCCCTTTCGATCCACAACAGTAGGTCCCGACCAAACTTATACTTATGTGAATTGGTCCTTTTAACAAATAGTTTAAACACATACTTGCAAATAAAGGCATGTTTTGGCATTTTAAGCACATGTATGATTCAAGTAATTAAACAAAAGGAAAATACTTGAACAAGTGGCACATATATAAAGGAAAGTAAAAATTTAAACATCGGAAATTGGGAAAGAGGGGTCCTAGGTTGGTTAGCCTACAAGATCACCCCACACAATGTCTGGTAATCACTCCTCGATGAGGGGCTACATGTGACATTAGCGCGTAGTCATCATATCCTTACTACCCAATTTCGTCCCCTTGGTCGTAGCCTAAAGCGTTCTAATAACCTTGATAGATGCCTATGCGTGCACTACCCGTCCCTTCCTCGTGACCCTGGAGGTATTTAGCACCTCTAATTTTAGGTCGTTCTAGACCATCCTAAGGTTTTTAAAGGAGAAAAATCAAGGCGTTAATCAAAATAGTTAGGACTGCACATAAAGAGGGAACAATTAAAGGCTCACATTTACCTCCACAAACATAACAAGCAAGTGGACGTCTCAAATAACAGTTTCAAGTATTTAAGAGAAAATCCTTGAACATGATATCTAGGTGAGTAGAAAGTATAAGGCATTGAATTAGGACTGAAGTGTCAAAGACCTATTCAGCTTGCCTACTAATTTTTGACCTATTAAATCTGAGTAGTCTCAAATAACAAAGCGCAGTTTTATAGTTGCAGGATTTTAATCGCCCTAGAGGCTTGCCTAAACGCACAACAGTGACATCCTAAAAGCATAGTATCTATGTTGATTAGGAATGCAGTAAAACAGTAAAATGATTTTTAAACGACAACTTGAGATCCTATAGGCATGCTTTCTAGCAGTATTAATTTTAAGACAGTGTTTGAAAATTTATTAAAGAAGCAGACATATTAATTAATTAAGCCAATTCAGAATATATAAACACGAATTTGAACTGATTTATTTAACTAAACCTGTTTTAAGTTCTATAGGCATAATTTCTACTAGAGCTGATTCTAATTCCTATAGGCATGGTATCTAATTATTAAAAAGTTGACTTTTGAACTTATAGGCATGATTTCTAAGGAGACGAATTTGAATACATATTGTAATGAAAACTGAACTTCAATTACTTTACACTCTATAGGCATGATATCTAATTATAAAGCTGATTTTAACCCTATAGGCATGATCTCTATTATTAAAGCCATTTAGATCCTATAAACAGGGTTTCTAATTGTGTGGAAGTAAAGCAAATATAACAAATACATCTAAATCAACATGGACCCTATAGGCATGATATCTACCCAATTTATCCAATATATATAACTACCCCCTCTTTTCACTAATCACCCCACTGTTTGTTTACAATAATTATTAAAGATCAATTAAATGAAAAATTTACATAAATAGAACAGAAGTTAGTCTATAGGGAGCCTGCAGTAGGCCCAAATGACTTCCAAGCCTCCAATAACCTCAAATGCCCAAAGTTCCATAGCCAATTTCATGTCTAGGTGTGTT